TCATCTAAACTAACTCAATTGGAAAACGAAATTACAGAAAATAAAAAATTTACCTTACTTGAGTTGGCTGACAGCCGGCCGATGGAGAGGGGTGGCTTCACAAGGTGGCCGGGAGGGGGGGGGGACGCCACTAGGCACAGCGCCGGTGGCCCGGGACGCCAGGGAGAGGCGGGGGCCGCCGGCGGTGCCGGGGCACGCGGAGGAGGAGGATGGGGCGATGAGGGCGGCCGAGGGAGTGGACGGGGGCGCGGAGCTCTTTGCTGGCCGGAGCACGGGAAACGGCGGGCGGCAGTTTGCTGTGGTGGCGCGAGAGAGGTGGTGACACGGGTGGCCGGAGGTGGTGGCGCGGGCTGCGGCCATAACAAGAGAGAGATCGCGCCGAAGTCAAGAGGAAGAGGAAAAAGGCACGCGGTATAGGTATAAGACCTCGGCGCCAAGATCTGTGGCGCCACAGATCTTAGCATCGAGGTAGCAATCACGTCAGCGCCACCTCGGCTGACCCGTCGTACCTGGCCGAGCACCTCGGCACCATGATCCTGACGCTGAGGCGTGTTACCTCAGAGCCATGGCTCCTGGCGCCGACCCCTAGGGTCTAAATATAAGTTTACATCGTCCAGAGGGTTAAATGTAAATTTTCTAAAAAAAAGGATGAAATTGCAAAAAATTACGTGTCGTGGCAGCACATGCGGCGTCCCGCGTCCCCATACCGCGTACGTATATGTACGTTTGGATGCATGGTTGAGACCAGCGCTGCACCGGCAGGCCTCCCGCGGATCCACGCCTGCCGGCCGCTAGATCGTCATCACTCATTAGTCACCAACTGCCGGGGTTGATCGGTACCAGGCTACAAGCAGGTAGGTGACCCTTATTATTGTCGTCCAATTGGTCCCCGCACGCAACCACGCGTTAGACGTGGGATGTGTGGTTTTCTTTTTCTCTTTTTTCACTAGTAGCCTGTTTAGTTTCTAAAATTTTTCAAGATTTTTCATCGCATCGAATCTTTAGACATATGTATGAAGTATTAAATATAAATAAAAAATAAAACTAATTACATAGTTTAGACGAAATTCACGAGACGAATTTTTTAAGCCTAATTAGACTATGATTGGACACAAATTGACAAATAACAACGAATGTGCTACAGTACCATTTTCCAAAAAAAATTCGCCAACTAAACCACCCCTAGATATATGTCCTGTGTTGTATCCTGTCACTGATTTTTTTTTCAGACTCTGGTATATAAACGCTATACACGAATATACACTCACCTCTATAAAATACACACACGCACACCTTATCTCTATGAGCACATCCGAAGTACTAAGTTGAACTGACAAATCTCACCACAAACGTCTATTGTCTACGGACACGACGTCTACCACTAGAAAAATATATCTGTAAATCTTAGAATAAATCTTGAGAAATTGAGCACCCGTGTCAAGTTGGACTTGAACCAAGGTGACGCTTATGTCATCGAATTCGTAGAAAAAAAAACTAATAAATGATTTTTTATTTAGAACCCTAAACTATTTCCAAATATATCATGGCCTTTTTTAATTTAGTTATTAAAGTCAAATCTTTCTGACTTTAATCATCGATTTTTAAATATTTATACAATTTCACGAGGACGAGACCTTACCAGATCGACTGTGAATGGAGACGGCATGAGGGGCGCATGGGGAGGCGGTCTGCTCATCATTTAGAAATGAACCTCAATAATCAGACGCGGACACATAAGCTTTAAGGATTTCGTATCGGAAGTTGAAATGTGGATCTGGTCATCATATTGGAACCGGGTAGTGCGCAGACGCGTGAGTTTCGAGTGAGGGATGATTCGTATCGAACGCACACGCGTGAGCAAGGATCCAGACTATTTATCATCAGGTTGACGATGATGTTTAAGTCTTTTTTTAGTGTAGAGATATACTTTAATTTATTACTACCAACAAACATATGTGTTGCGACGCAACGTTTAGCTCGCAATCACAGTGTGTTTTGATTCGTCCTGAAATGAACTCCGATCCTTAATGTAGCTAGACATGTGCTACTCTAACTCGTATAGGTACATGATGTTTAGAGATTTATCAGCGATGTGTCATGCGTTACAGTTCGTTTTAGAATCGACTCTCCAAACCATACCTGAACACTTAACTCGCATAGGTATAAAAGAGAGTGATAGATCACTGAAACACGTGAAGTTCCACTTCGTTTTTAAATATGTTTGGACATGCTAACTTGCACAGACATGCGAGAGATTGAGTCAATCAAATCCCTGTCGGATGGTTGTAGGCGATGAAGGATAAAGAAACCTTTCGCTCTTTATATAAGCTAGACTAGATAAGATCAGGTATAGGAGTACTTTATTTGGGATTGAAAGAAGCAATAAGCCTGGTTACCGGAACTTGGAAGAGTAGTAAATGTAGCTTTTTTGAACAGCCTAGCACAGTAGCTGATATATAGTACACATGCAATAGACAAACGTTCGGCAACTTTCGTCCATAGAGAGAATCATTGTTTCATTTCATCTTGGCTTCTCCTTCTCTGTTTTTGTGCTGGTGTTTCTGCTGCTCACGACGAGCGTCCAAACGATAATGATACGGTGAGGATGTCCGTCCGTCCAGGTGTTGTCTTCCCAAATAAAAAAATACCTCCCACTCCGTCTCACACGCTCTCACGAGCTCCGCTCCACTTCCTCCGCCCTGCACTCGCCATAGGCTCAGCTCCGCTTCCTCCACCCCGTGGCCCTCGCCCGCCTCCGTGACGCCAGGCTCCGCCGCTGGAGTCACGCCTCCCACCCTCATCGCCGTTGCAGGCGCTGGCACCCTCCTCGTCACCTCCTCTTGCGGCTGGAGACGACGAGGGTGTCGCGGCCGTGCCATATTCACGTCGGTCTCGAGGCTCCTCGCACCCCGGTAGCGAAAGAAGCGTGCGAGGGGCCAAGTCCGTGGTGCTCTTCGCTCCGCCGTCTCCCAACCCCAATCTGCCCATCGAGGCGGTTATCGAGTTCCTCAGCGCACCGACATGGTGGTCGCCGCCACTATAGTGTCGCGCCTAATATGTTGCAAGCGTATGTTTCAAGTGTTTCAGATGTTTCAGAGGTATGTTGCAAGTGTTTCATGTGGATGTTGCAAGTTTTTCAGAGGTATGTTGCAAGCGCTTGTCGTTCAAAATGTTTCATCTGTTTTCAGATGTATGTTTGCAAACGTTTTTAATTTGAATGTTGCATATGTTTCACACTGTTTCAAAAGTATGTTCCAATGATTTCAGTTGTTTCAGTCTTATGTTGCAGTAAGTGTTTTCATATTGCAAGTTGCAACTATTTTATCTAGATGTTGCATATGTGTTGACACACATGTTTTAAGTGAATGTTCTAAATGTTTCATCTGCTTCAGACATATGTTGCATTCAAGTGTTTCATGTTTTCATAGGTGTGTTCAGAGAGTCGTGGGGCACGGCCTGGGCGCCCGGGGATCGTGCGTGGCGAGCCGGGTGCCGGCGGTCGTGGCATGCCTAGATCCTGCAGATGGGGGGTTTGCTCATCCTCATCCCGGCTCCCCCAACATGGAGAGAGAGGAGTGGGGTCGCTGGGAAGGAGCCGCGGGTGCAGCGATAGGGGCGGAGTGCGCGTGGTGGGCGGGGCGAAGCAGACAGGGGTGGGCTGCGGGGGCGTCTAGATGCACGCGTTCGTCCGGATATCTGGACGCTAGCCTCACGCGCGTCTAAAGCCCATAACTTTAAAAGAGACGAGGGACATATTAACCCTAAAAAGGAATGTTCCTTTTCTTTTGAAGATATACGAGTATGTAGTATATTCTTGATGATTGGTAGCATTCATTGTTTTACCAAAAATAATTGGCTGTAAACAGAAGAAGATATACATAGAAGGAAATGCATTTCTTGCCTTTTGAAGAGATATGTAGTATAGTCCTGATGATTGGCAGCATTAATTCCTTGCTATTTCTTTTTACCAAAAATAATTTGTCGTAAACAGAAGAGGATGTATATAGAAGGAAATGACACTAATAGTTTCTTTTTGAATTTTAATATATTATATTATTCATTCATTCTTGACTCGTCCAAAAAGCTAATTCACCGAACCGCCTAATCATTTGGGCTGCTAGTGTATATACTACTATACTATTTATATATAGGAGTATATCCAAGTTAGTACTGGATTGGATAATGCGATATTCCAAGATAGTGCGTGCAATCAAATTACTGCTGCAGTGGATATATAAATGCAATATTTGAAGGACACTTGCGATCGACGTCGTCACATATCCGTAATAGAAAAGGAATCCCATCAAATCAGGAAGAGACGACAAAAGAATGGAATCTGATCAATCAATAAAGCAATGAAAATCTAGTGGAGCAAGAATCTAGTATATATACTAGTGCATCCTAATTGTATTTTATTGTCAACTATCCTTAAAACATAAAATACCAATAATATATAGTAGCATATATTTACATATAATAATATATAGGCATGTGTTACTACGTACAGTATAGATCCAGAGACCTGTATTTCCTTTCTGGTCCCACACAACAATTTTGTACGTTATTAAAATGGTTAAAGTAATCTATATATAATAATTATAATTAAATTAAATCCCCAAATCAGGGGATAATGGTCGGGCGTCGTGATCTCCGGGGCCTTCCCGGGAAATTGCGCTCTAAAGCGACGCCTCCGTCCCTCGCACTCCAGCCGTTGGATCTCCGCCACCGCCACGCGTACGTAGGCGATCCCACGCGCCAAACCGACCCAACGGCTGGAACCGGCGCCGGTGGACACGACGCGACCCGGCCAGTCTCCTCGCACGACCACCACCCGCTGCCTATAAAAAGCACGGCGCCCTCGTCGTCACTTCTCCATCCATCCATCGAGCACCAAGCAGGCACACACACACGTACTGAGATCGAGCTAGCGCACGAGTCTTCTTGTTCTGGAGATCGACTGATCGAGAGATCGTTCACCGACGACGACGACGACGAACGCAATGGGCCCCAACATGTCGGCGCTGGGCAAGCAGCATCAGGCGGCGGCGGCCATGGCGCCGAAGCGGGCGTACGTCACCTTCCTTGCGGGCGACGGCGACTACTGGAAGGGCGTGGTGGGGCTGGCCAAGGGCCTTCGCCGTGTCCGCGCCGCCTACCCACTGGTGGTGGCCATGCTCCCCGACGTGCCCGAGGAGCACCGCCGCAAGCTCCGCGACCAGGGCTGCGTCGTCCGCGAGATCGAGCCTGTGTACCCGCCCGAGAGCCAGACGCAGTTCGCCATGGCCTACTACGTCATCAACTACTCCAAGCTCCGGATCTGGGAGGTACGTTACCTTCGTCGTGTTCCATTTGTATGTGTTCTAATTTATGATCAAATTTTTATATATTGGTCCAATGATGAATTGCCTGATGACATGTGCAGTTCGTGGAGTACGAGCGCATGGTGTACCTGGACGCGGACATCCAGGTGTACTCGAACATCGACCACCTGTTCGACCTCGACAAGGGCAAGTTCTACGCCGTGATGGACTGCTTCTGCGAGAAGACGTGGAGCCACACGCCGCAGTACAAGATCGACTACTGCCAGCAGTGCCCGGAGCGAGTGTCGTGGCCGGAGCAGGAGCTGGGCCCGCCGCCGCCGCTCTACTTCAACGCCGGCATGTTCGTGCACGAGCCCAGCCTGCGCACCGCCAAGGACCTCCTGGACGCGCTGGTGGTGACGCCGCCGACGCCGTTCGCGGAGCAGGACTTCCTGAACCTCTTCTTCCGCGACGTGTACTCGCCCATCCCGCCGGTGTACAACCTGGTGCTCGCCATGCTGTGGCGGCACCCCGAGAAGGTGGTGCTCGACGAGGTGAAGGTGGTGCACTACTGCGCGGCCGGGTCCAAGCCGTGGAGGTACACGGGGAAGGAGCCCAACATGGAGCGCGAGGACATCAAGGCGCTGGTGGCCCAGTGGTGGGACATCTACGACGACGAGAGACTCGACTACAAGGGCGCGCCCGGTGGTGGTCGGCGGCGACGGCGAGGAGGAGGCGGTGGACCAGGCGAGGCTGCCGCTGCGCCAGGCCCTGGCCCAGGCCGGCGCCGTCAAGTACTTCCCCGCGCCGTCGGCTGCCTAGGCGCGCCGCCGGTTGCCGGCCGGGACGACGGCGTGCACCCCGGCTAGCTGTGCCATGCAGGTGGCCGCACCCAACGGATGGTGGCTCCGACGATCCTCTACTACTGGCGCTCAAGTGCTCAACAAGGAGGCGCTTATAATTAATAATAATAATATGGATATGTGTGTGTGGATTAATTAGCGTAGCGGTCTACAGGTTTTGGAATTCTAGACATTGGCCATCAGTACAATAACTCATATATTTCGTCAGGTCGAGTATTTTAGTTTGTGTGTGGTGAAATGAAAACCAAAGAAGGAAAAAAGGAGTTTTTTTTAGCTTATGTACGTACTTGGTCATCTGCCAAGACAAACAAGCTAGCATTTTGAATTAAAAGCTAATAAATCTTTTAGTTTTGTATAACCCCTTGAATGCTGTGTTGGTCGTTGTGAGCTTATCTGTGATGGTTGGTTTGTGGTGCATATTCCGGAATATTCTTCATTGCTTATAAGCTTTAACTCCGGCGTATGCCCGTTCCCTGCTGAATAGCCAATGGTCACATCATATTTGTTCCAAGGTAGACTGTCACATGTCCTGGGAGTGCAGGAAACGGAGCAAGGAGCAAGGACTGCACGTCGTCGTTCGTCACTGAATCGCTGCCGGTGACGTCGCGTTATCAAAAATCCAAACTGGCGAAGACTAGGGCAGAGCTTCAGCTAGCTCCACCCCGTGTGGCTTCTCTAATAATTTTTTTCTCCGGTTTCACTTGTTAGAAAATACTTAGTAAAACAGCTTCGCATAGTTGGTTGATGAAAAGAATAATGAAATATCTATAATACTCTAGTTTGTTCTTTCTTTATTTTCTTCCACTGTTATTTTTCTCTTCTCTCTCTATCTTATCTGCCTCGCACTCCTCCACCGCACCCTGTGCTCAACGCTGCTGTCGCCCCGCCTCCATGCCAGCCCTCTTTGCCCTGACAACTACACATGGCGTTTGGACTCGCCTCCGTGTCGAGGGATGGCACCGGCTATGCGTCCTGCCTATCCCTCTGCCCATGCTGCCATGCCGGGGGCAATTTCTGCCCGGACCCGTGGATCTGACGACCAAGAGGGGAGAAGTTGCATTTTTCAGCTTTATCTATCTTGCATCTACATCTTTTTTTCAGCTTTATCTTGCATCTACATCTTCTCTTAGCGCGATTCGCGGTACATTTGGTTGACGGGGTGGTGAAGTCGTTGATGAAGTAGTCGTTGGAGCGACATAACCAAAACACACACACGCACACTAGCTGTCCGGGTTGTTGTCGACGATGTTTCCTCATCGCTATTACTACCGGATTTTGGACTTGGACGGCTAGCTACCCGGCCGGTGTGGTGTCGACGATCCGGCTGACAGTGGCAGGTGTCAAATCAGGCTGGTCGGTAACGGTGACACGGTGCGCCGCCCACGTCCGGCCGACGCACGGACGACCAATCAACGTCCCCTGGTCGATGGCCAAATTAAAACTATGCATTGCGATAGTATAATGCATGCCATAGAGTATTTATTTGTTGAGATAGATGGATAGAAAGAAGGATGAGATCGATCACCATCAGTAGTCAAGACGATCGAGGACGGCTATTACTTGACCAGTCGTCGCGCGTCTGTCTGTCTTTAGGGGTTACTCACTTGTTTTATTTCTTTGTTACTCCTACACTGCATACAGATGGATCGCATACGTCGCCAAGCACAGGTAGCAGGCAGTTGCATGTCGTGCAGGGCTGCGATTGCAGAGCCAGATCATGCCCAGATCGAGCCACAGTCAAGATTTGACAACGTCCTCCGTGGCTCCGTCCTCTCCTGATCGGATCATTCAGAGTTTCAGACTTGTGACGCCTGTCCAAACGTCAAACCTTATTACCTGGGTCTCAAGGCATGCATATAGTATTAATTAGTGCTTAATTAATTAGGCAGCAGACCGAAACACTGTCGTCTGTCCACTACTGAATGAAAACATACATACTCCTACTCCTATGTGCTGTATGCATGCCATATATATGCAACCCGCCCGGTCGGCAACCATGTCGAGAAACGCATTGATTGGACGACGTGGCATACATGCATGTGAATTCAAGAAAAGTCAGCTGATGACTATTAAATTACAAGGAAAAAGGATACCACCGACAGATGTATGAATATACTGCTAATTACTACTCCCAAGAAGTATCAGAAGCTCCTCTCAAAAAAAAAAAAGTATCGGAAGCTTAAAATTTATCTTAAATTATAGGATATTTTAGATTGCTCAACGTTATCTATATGTGTATGATCTTTAGGACCTTTCTGTAACGCGGGAAAAAATTCCAAATCATATGCTTTTATTGTAAAATTTATTATAAAATTAAATTGATTCATGTGAAAACCATTGAAGATTCCTATAAAAATAATACATTCTAAATGAGCCCTTAATAAACTCTGTCCATACATGAGAACCCCCGTGTAACACACTAACACGGGTGGTGGGAGCCGGTGGCTGGCTTCTTGCCTGCTAGCATTCGAGTCCTTGGCTCGACACTGGTGTCTCACCTAGGGTTTTTTTTCCTGTTTTCGTTGTGAATATCCTCAAGCGCCTATGAGCCACAATGGGAGGTCACGCGCCCGTAGCTAACGAAGCTTAGTCTTCGTAAATGTATTATATACGTGTGTGTTAGTATATATATATTTTAGGTTTAGCATACACCATGCATTGTGGTTGCGCGTTGGTGTGAGTGGCGTGTGTGTGGGAGTGCGTGATTGGTTATACGCTAAGTACTATCACATCTGATAGGTATAGAAAAAAAAATGTATCCATACATACAACCTCTTGTAGTCTTGTGTATATATAGCTAGACACATCTCCATCAATCAACCAGGGAATAGGTACAGTTACACGTCATGGGTGACTGGACTTTGGCTACTACAAGTTTATTCATTTCTAGAACATTTGACTGACGTGTTCAAGAGGAATACTAATTGACTTATAAGGGGATGTTATTTATTAGTACAAGAATAATGGGCCTTGACTACCAATAGTAGGGGTCTAGTGGATATCAATCTACGCAACGATCAGTTATACTCCTACTATTGTTAGGTCAGACGTCTCCAATAATGTAAACTAGTACTAACTCTAAGCCGATAAATATTAGAAGATAGAGAGATTGTGCTAAGAGTAGCTTTAATTGTAGCTCTAAGCAATTAAGCATATTGTTTCATATTCTAAGAAAAAAGAGAAAAGCTATCTCTTAATCCAGGACCAGGCACATGCACATATTTTAAGATTACGTGATATCAATGTCATGTGGTGCTATAGTTATGAGCTACAGAGCGATGCGCTGTAAATGTACCCGACTGATGCACTGACAAGTTGTTCGGATCCACTTGCGTTGAGGCGGCTAAGGGTTTCACCAATGCAGACTGCTATGGGTAGTGGTTTCAGCAAAAGGATTCCTTCCACCTACACAAGAATAGATTGAGACCACTAGTGTCACAACATTGTAAATTTTTGCCAGCTTCTTTTACTCTTCTGCTTACGTGGTATTTTTATCACTGGACCAGTCTACTTGATGCTTCAAGCCAATGTTTTTTGCTGCAACGCCTGGCTTTAACTACAGCTTGTGCTTTTAGTTAGACGAAGCAAATGTGACTTCTGCAAGCCACACTAACAAGCTGCAAAGCCACCTTCCCGTCATCTCTCACCCCACATGCGTATTCGAGCCTACATGATACTATGAGGCAGCAGTCCAGAGTGGAGGCTTGGAAAAGCCCTAAAGAAGGCCGCCGCTAACCTCCGGGCCACCTAGGGCGTTGTTAGTTTTTTTTTAATTTTAATACTTTTTTAAATAAATTTTAAATCTAACACTGTTTTTTTTAAACTAACACTTTTGGCCGCGCCTATTGTCATGGCGCGGCGAAATTCCTGTGCCGCGCCATGCATGATGGCGCGGCAGGAGGGTGACGTGGCGAAGACCGGGGCCGCTGACCGGTGACGTGGCAGGGTCTACCGTGCCACCGATCTTGGCGCGGCACTGACGCGCCACGGCGCATGGCGCGGCAGGGTCAGATAAATATTGCCCGCGAGCCGCCCGCCCTACCTCTGCCTGCCGCCCCGCCCGCCGCCGCCGCCGCCACGCCACGCTTTGCCCGCCGCTGCACCACGACGCCGACCACCGTGCCGCTCAAGACGCCTGACCGCCAAGCCGCTGCAGACCCCTCACTGCAGCCACCCACCACCCACTTCATGCCACGCCCACTCACTCCGGACCCCATTTAACGTCGGCAGCGTCCACGCCACTCACATCAAGGTAGGCTCTCTCAATTTCATGTTATTATGATTGTTATTTTAGTTAGGGTTAGTGATTTAGGATAGTTAGGTTAGTGAATTTGTTAGTGATTTAGAATTTGTTAGGACAGTGATTTAGAATTTGTTAGTGATTTAGGATAGTTAAGGTTTAGTTAGGTAGTTAGGGTTTAGAGATTGATTTTGGGTTAGATTAGGTAGTTTTGGTTAGGTAGTTAGGGTTTAGGTTACTGTTAGTTAGGATTTTAGGTTTAGGGATTGATTGTCGGTACTTAGTAGTGCGTGATACGGCGATTTGGATGATTTGATGAAGTTTCGTCAAATGCTTATTTTTCTAGTGGAGTTGTTTAATATGTCTGTTAATGTTACTTTGAATATATACATGTGCTTTCATATTATGTTCGTATTGCATAACAAGTAGTTCAAAATTTGCAATGCTACATAATGTTAATTTGAATATTGTTAATTTGAATACTCTCACCCTTTGTTTATCAATTTGTAACAGGATGACCCCTCCCACGCAGCACCCGTTGTATCCCATTCTTGAGGTGGAGTACGACGACCAGCACCGAGAACACATCTTGAGTGACACCGACGCACAGGTGGCCTTTCCTATTTTGAGGCCCCGCACGCACACCATGACGCACCAGTGGGACGAGCGTTACGCGCCGTATATACGGCGTGCCGGCTTTCTCGAGCTTGTCCGTGTTGTCAACTACGGTCTTCCACCCCTTGACCCAGCACTACTTACTGCAGCT